GGGGGGAGCCGTGACGGCGAAGTGATGCAGCGGCTCGCTGACTGAGATCGGCGGTTTGACTTGGATGGCTCGCCGGAGATGGGCTTCGACGTCGGCGTTGACGACGGCCCAGTAGGAGGAGTCGCCGCCGGAGATGGCCAACACCGTTCTTCGCCGGAGAGCCGCCGGAGAAGGACGGGGGAGATACGTTGCTATCAGGACACGGGGACTGGTGATTGCTCCGACCATGGTTGCAAGTTGCAACTGAGACGACAAGAACAAGGGGAAGATCGAGTTATGGAATTTGTGAAGCGAGCGTTGCAGTTTAAATAAAATCAACATTATTACCATTTCATTATATTTTTCGCACGGTTTAAACAATCGAACGTCATATTCTGATTGTTTAAATGTAATTCAACATTGTACAGAGTTAATGGGATCAGGAAATTCACGTGTTATTGTGTATATATATATATATATATGTATGTAAATATTGGAGGAGAAGAAAATTAAGTTAACGGACAAAAATAACTAAATTTTGGGTATTCGTCCTCATCAACAAATTGGGTATATTCGAAAATCAGGTATCCATTTTATAACGAGATATACGTCGAAATTTTAATATGATTAAAATTTAAAATTCGTGTTCAGATTCGAATTGATATTTTTCGGATCTGTTAATTATCCCTGGATATCCGTATAATAAAAATATCGTTATTATATCTTTGATTTATTTATAAATTGTAAATAAATTTATCATTAATCTAGATGTTTTTTTATTTTAAAAACAATATATAGTTATTTTAGATATATAAATATTTTTTATAAAAATTATTGATTTATAATATATAAAGTTTTATAAATTTTTTAATCAAAATATGTTTAAATTTCGTTGGATTCGTATACCTAGGGGTGTAAAACGAGCTGGCTCGACCCAGCCCAGTCCGCCTCGTTCCGATCCGAGAAAATTTTAGCCCAGCCCAGTCCAGCCCGTTTTTTAACGAGCTAAAAATAGATCAGCTCATCCCAAATCGCCTTAACCCGCGAACCAAACGAGCCGGTCCGCGAGCCAAATATATAATTTTTATTTTAAAATATAGAAAAAAATAAAAAGAAAAAAAGAAAAATTGGCCCGCGGGCCAGCCCAGCTCGTTGCGGGCTGGCTCGCCATGAGCCCGATCCGTGACGAGCCAGCTCCTTTGGCCCGTTTTTTCTGGGCTCAATTATTCTCACCCCAACTCGGAAGAATATGGGCTGACTCGCGAACCACCCCGTGGGCCCGAATCTATTTTACACCCCTACATATATCCATGAATATTCAAAAAATTATTTCGTAAGTAATATAATTTAAATATCTAAAAAATCGGGTTTAGGGTTTAAAATATATAACCCATCGAATTCAAATACCTAGAAATTTAATTCCGCACACGTCCACCTAACTCCGCGGTGTAGTGTATGATTTGGGAATTGGGATCATGTGCAAAACACGTGACCCACTTTCAGAGTTTGGTCCTTGTCAAATATAATATATATTTATATACACTTGGACGACAGCTTGGTTGGTTGGGTTGTGTCGACACCTTTCTCTTTTCCCATTTTAATATTTTAATTCATAATCTCTTTAATTACTTGCTATTATCTTTTATTTATATATATATAATCCATCACTTGCTATATCTTCATTTCATAGGCAAAGCATGTGAAAAAAAAACGTAATATATTTATATATATGTATACACATTTCACACGAAATTGTGTAAAATAAAACTCTAGTTTAAAATTTTTATTTATTATAAATTTGAAAAAAAATGCTTGAGTTCCTATGAATACACAAGAGAAGGTGTTCCGTAAAATAAAGAAAAAAAACACATAATCGTAGTTTTTTTTTATATTTTGTTCTAATTATTTAAAATTTAAATTTTGCACCTTTAATAAAAAAAAACATAGTTTATTTTTTTTATAAATCAGATTATATTTAAATTATTTTATTCAACAATTATTTATTTTAAAATTATTGTTATACAATAATTAATCTTGTCTAAATCATATTACCAACCCCTTAATATAATTTAAAACACTAAAATTTTAATTTGATTTCTTTGTTGTCGGTAGAGTGTCAAACGAACTAGTTCAACTCATATTTGCTCAACTTGTTACGACGTTTTGGGTTTCATTCGCCAAATTCGTTTGCGAACTAACTAAAAAAACATTGATTCAACTCGATTCGGCCAATTTCACAAGTTAAACACAGACTCACCAAATTTAAAACATATATAATATTTTTATTTATAATTTAAATATATCTATATATAATAAATTATATATGTAATCAATAAAATTTAAATTAGATATTAATTTTTATAAAAATATATAAAAAATATATATATATTTTAACTCGACGAGTCACGAATTGTTTCCACCTTGTCGTCTTCTTTCTTCTGTTCTTCATTTCTCTGATACGACAATCTTTCATTGAAACAATCGAAACCCGCGTCACTGTTGATCCTAATTGCTGCTTTGTTTCTTCGACTTTCTCCAAGTCCCGCGATTCATATCGCCGAGTTTCGAGGAAAAGATTCGATTTTTTTACCTGGAGGTTGTGATGTCGACTGAGTTGACTCGGACTGGCCGAATCATGAGACGGTGGGTCTTTTTTTTCCTGGTTTAGCTCTTGATTTTTTCTGAATTCGAAGATTTGGGGGGGGGGGATTTTGTCGATGAAGCATAGAAGATTAAAACTAATAGAAATGTAAATCATGGATTAAAAAAAAAAAGCAAGTCATAACAAATTTTAACTTTTTATCTAACGAGAATTTAATTTTAATCTATTTATATATAAAACTTGACGAATTGAGCAACATACAGTATTGGTGATTACAAGTATTGATTGTGTAACTTTCCACGAGATAACCCTATACATCAAATATATATATATGTATTACAAATACACAGCACAAATTAAATAATCGTTACATTTTACATATAATCTGTGTCAAACTTTTGGCGGACCGGTTAATGAATTTAGCTCGGTTCGATCCGGTTTAGTTATCAATCCATCACAAATGTACCTACAAAACAGAAGAGATTGATGCATAAGCTGAGAGAGAGAGAGAGAGAGAGAGAGAGAGAGAGAGAGAGATGGGAAGGTATAGATCAATCAGAGGAAGTACTTTCTTGTGCATAATCTACATGTTAAGTACAGTAGTTGTCTATGAATCCAAGAAGAGAGGAGTTACAGCTGTGTTCGTGTTCGGAGATTCCTTAGTTGATGTCGGAAACAACAACTACATCCCTTTCTCCATCGCCAAAGCCAATTTCCCTCCCAACGGCATCGATTTCCCCGGCAGAGTTCCCACCGGAAGATTCAGCAACGGCTTGAACGCCGCCGATTTCCTCGGTACCTAAACGTATCCTCTGCCGTATACAACCATAGGAAACGTATCCTATACCGCGTGTATACATCCGCACATATATACACACATATGCATATGCGTGCGCATGTGTATCATATCTCTGTGTGTGTTTTTTGCTTCATGAGGGGGAAATTAGGAAGACAGGTGTAGAAGAATACGAAATAGCATGCGGAACAATATATATATATATATATATATATATATAAATGACTGATAGAGATACTTAGACATCCTGGTCGATCGTTTTCATAATTTGTGTTCTTTTTCCTTTCTTGGTAAGTGAAACTCTTGGCTTCTATAGTCATGTGATGTCTGGCCCTGTGTTTTTGTTCTCTTCATGCACAGTATATTATACGTGTATACTATACTACACAGTACACGTACAAATATGTATGTGTCTCCTGTGTTATATCTTTTTAATTAAATATACGTACGTATTGCGTATTTCTTTTTTCTTTGGATTATGCAGCAGAGAAGGCGGGACTTCCGAGTTCTCCGCCGTTTCTTTCACCGGAAAATCAAAGGAACATGTCGTCCTTTTTCGCCGGCGTTAATTTCGCCTCCGGAGGCGCCGGAATTTTCAACGGCACTTACCACAACGACATCCTCGTAAGTAAAACATGGCACAAGTGTCGAAAATCGGAGTAATAAATTCAGGGTTTGATCCATAGTTTATAATTCATGAGCAAAAAGAGTTTTTTAAGGCCAATTACTGTTGATATTTTGACGTATACTAATCTCGTTCAAGTGACGTGTATAGGGTCAGTCCATTTCGTTGTCGAGGCAAGTGGACTACTATGTCCATCACGTTCGTGGAGATCTAATAAGACTTGTCCAACCATATCACGATGTGCGTACATACTTATCGAGATCGGTATTCGCGGTTGTGATCGGAAGCAACGATCTTCTCCATTATTTCCGACGGTCCGATCTCCGGCGACGGACCTCTATTCAGCGGTACGCGAGCTCCATGGCTGCAAAGCTCAAAGAGCAACTGGAGGTACATCTGTTCTACATATCATCAAAAAAAAAAAAATACTGATTATTTTCTGTACATAGAAAAACACGACACTGAAGGCTTTTATTAATTGAAATAAATAAAAAAATACACAACTTTTTCAGTTTTTTTATTGAATAAAAATAAACCCTAATCCACTTGGTTAATTACACTCCATTCAAATGTTTTGTTACAAAAATATAATGCAGAGATTGTACGACAACGGAGCACGTAAGTTTCTGGCGGTCGGAACGGGGGAGATCGGGTGCATTCCGGCGAGGCGGTTGAAGTTCCGGGGAGCGAAATGCGACGAAGAAGCGAATCACGGTTCTCTCGCATTCAACGAAGCGTTGAAAACGACGATGGAGGAGCTGAAAGCTCAATTGCATGGGATGAACTATTCCTTCTTCGACTCCTACAAAGCCATGCATGACATCAGCAACGATCCCATACTCTACGGTAGTGACGACTCTGATCTTCTTGTGTGTGTGTGTGTGTATATATATTGAATCCTCTTTCTGAGACGAAGGGTTTAGGGAGATCAAAGCGGGATGCTGTGGGCTGGGGAAGTTGAGGGCGGAGATACCATGCGTTCCATTTGCGACGTACTGTACGGACAGGGAGCATCACTTGTTCTGGGACATGTACCACCCAACTCAACAAGCCTCCCGAGTTTTCGTGGATTTCATCTTCGATGGATCTCCTGATTATGTTTTCCCCATTAATCTGAAACAGCTCGTTTCAGCTCCTTGAACGTAGTTGCCTGTTTGTTCTGTCCGAAATACAGTATTTTACTTTTTTCTATTTATTTTTATTATCCATGGATGAAGAAAAAAATAGAAAAAAATAAAAATGAATGCGGTGAGCGTGGATCGAACACGCGACCTTCAGATCTTCAGTCTGACGCTCTCCCAACTGAGCTATCCCCGCGGTTTGGTTTTCTAACAATTTTAAATTTATTCATTTATTTATTTAGATATTTAAAACCTGTCTAATGTAAAACGTATATGATATGATAATGGGACGCGCAGATTTAGGGTCGGGATTTATCGTATTTTAAATATATAGTTGTGTCAAAAAATAATCCAATGGTATGGTTTGATAATTCCTAATTTCCTATTGGTCAATTTTCGTATAATGGAAATACCACAGATAAATCATGTTTGGGCTGTGTCAGTGATGGGGAGTGGTCAAACCTCATGTCCATTAATAAAACAATTAATTATGACACAATTTATGCCCTTTCTTTATTAATTAATTATTTTTATAAACAATGTTCCAAATGTCTTCATATTTCGTCCTCCGCTCCACTTCGGCTCGTTGATCTCGCCTTCCTCTTCTTCCTCCTCCTCCTCCTCCTCGAGCTCTCATGCCGCCTCGTTGACACGGCAACATCTTAACCTGTGCGCCTGTAGGTGCGCACGATAATGGAGGCGCCGGCGCCGTCGTTTGTCTCCAAGGCCAGGACCGCCTTCCACTCCGCCGCGGCCAAAGCGGAGCGCGTCTTCACTGATCTCAAATCTGATCGAGGTCTCCTCTCTCTCTCTCTCTCCCCGTGTTCTCTGCTTCGATTTACCTGTGTCTTCTTCCTAAGTCGTTGAATTTTCTTTATTTCCATTTACTAAATTTTGACTGATCGATGGAGGCCCGTTGCTTGCTAGACCACCGATTTTTATCCGATTCTCGTGTTAAATTCCCTCTCTATTTTTTCCTGGTCGTCTTTTTTTGGGGGGTTTCATTGTGATGATGCGTATTTCATTTTTTTTTTTTAAATTTTTTTTGTCTGAAACGTTGAAGACGCGGAGAAGCAAGCAAAGAGGAACGAAGATCTCTCAGAGGTGCGTCCATTGTTGCCCAAATAGAATTCCCGATTTGTCTTCCCTATGGAATCATAATCTCTCAGTGTTTGGCGTGGTCTGAGAATCTGGGAATTATGTGTTTATCTTAGATTTTTGGAAATGACAGGGATGATAATTTTCACTGTATTTTAATCTGAGGCTTGTAATTTCTGATTGGAAATGAGAAGTAGGATACTTGTAGTTCTTTTGTTTGTTTGAAGAAGCATTTGGAGAATGTAAAACAGTGAGGCAATCTATGTTAAATGTTTGGAAAATATTACCCATATGCTTTTTAGAGAAACTGTTTTGTTTTGTTTTGTTTCTTTAAGGGAAACTCTGTTATAATAGAGACACATATTGGGTTTCCTGCTAAGTGTGAATTTTCTGACACAGGAGGACAATGAAGTGAAGCCTAGAGGATGGAGAGGTGCAAATATCGGAACAAAGCAAGAATGGCAAGATAGATTGAAAAACTTAAGACTAGGGAGGATAGGAGTTGAAAACCACGAAAAGGCTGAAACTTTAACCATGGCGCTCCCTTTTGTTGACGAGAATATGTATACTCTTAAAGTGATACAAGAACAGGAAGCCAAGGTATCTCTTTCTCAAATCACTTTCTTCGGTTTTCCTTGTCTGCTACAGACAGATACCATTGGAGCTCGCCGTTTGCCTGCTGTCAAGATATCTTTACTTTTACTGTGTTAAATGATCTCGCTTCCTTCGATATATAGGCATCAGATGTTGCTTCATTGGTAGAATCTCTGAATGCTATCGATGTGAACGGTATTCCTTCTGCCTCTACTGTGAAGCAGCTGGCCGTAGCACTTGAGTGAGTCTTGAATGATTTAATTTCATCTCAGTCTAAAACTTGTCCTTTTTAGTTTCCTGTAGTGTTCTGGCTAAAAGCTTTTCAGAAAGCTTAATTACTACTCATCGAGGTTTCAATTTGGATTTACGTTTTATGCTCTGTATCTGTATTTTCCAGGCCTTGCTTATAAGCAACAAGGTTGAAGAATTGTGTCTGCCACTATATAAACTCCCTAGTTGAAGTTTTCCGTAGATGAGTCTGCTGTTGATTTCTCAATATGTCCTTTTGGTTTTTGGTTCCAGAGCAGGAAAGAGGGCTAAGACTGTCAAAGACTTTGTTACATCTTCGGGAAGTTCATCACCAGTGAGGGAGAGGGGGGCCTTGAGCCTCTCTGCAGTGAAATCACTGGTCCTCGGTGACAAAGAGGATAAGCTTGGATTTGATCCTGGAGACGAGGATAAACTTGTTTCTCTAACTCAAGCCTTGTTTGATGCAGGTAGGTTTATCATACAAGGGCATGTTTGTCTGTCCAACTATATTTCTGTCCCTTTTATTTCTTTTCGCGTTGATTATAATTTATGGAAGATATTTACAGAGAGTAGTTTCCTCAGAAGAAAGATTGACAGTGATTTAGAGTCTCCAGCGAGCACAACATCTTTGCCAAAAGATATTCATGCTGCTCCGTCGGGCAGTTTCGTTGTTAAGCTAGCAGAAGTGATTGGAAGCTTTACAACCCTAAGGAGAATGACTTTGTTCTGGTGCAGGGTTGTTGATGAAGTAAGTTGTTGTAATACAAATTAGAAAATCCTTGGCTTTGGAGCAACCTTCTTTATTCTCTCTATTTGATATCCAGTGTGATTAGCTTATGAGCTAAGGTAAGGGGGGTAGTTCATGCTATTTGTGAATGTTGATAGAGCAATTGATTCTATATGCCTTGTGGTTTAGGGTGGACCATTTGGTATTCAAGATTGCTGGTGTGTAGAGGTTCAACAAGAATGAAATTTTCTTCGTTTTGCCTGGTAGTTTAGTCAAAGTCCAAAACCTAGATGGAAATATATGTGATTAGGCATATGTCTACACTAGAGAAAAGTAATTATATTCGAGTGCATTCTCCAACCACTGCAACTAAGCTTGGCATGTTATAGTTCTTTTGATAATGTGTCTTGGATCCTTTGCATGTGCAGTTGAGAAGATTCTGGACTGAAGGAAAGCACATACCAGGGATCCCTCTGGACGAGATTCCGGATTTAAAATTTTGCCTGCTGCATCAATGGTTACAGGTCATAAATTGCTGCCTTTCTAGGAAAGCACGTCGGAGAACTGCAACTGAAGCACTGGATGCTGTAATGAGGCAATCCAGTTTGACTGATGAAGACTCAGATGTTTCAGAAGGAACGGCTTCTTCTGTTCCTCTTTTGTATGCTAAAAGTAATACCGGAGAACTCATACTCCGGCTAGGTGTTAATCACCGAGTTGAGAACTTAACATTGTTGGAAACTGGTCAACCTGTATATGCCCCAATAACTCAGGTTCGGCTACTTCCATTATAATTGATTAAAACTATGAGTAACTTCTCAGTTCTCAAATCTTATTTCTTTCGCCTTTGGTTTTGTCCATATCTTGAAGGAAGGACCTCTTCTGACGGAAGATCTTATCAGAGAAACAGAGGAACTGGTTCTCCGGACAGGGAGGTGAGTAAGTACACTCAAGTTAATGAGATGCAGATCTATTTGGAATTCGTATCTTTGAGCAACTTCTTCCTGCCCCTGTCGTCTTTATGCAGTTCTTTCTCTACATGTTTGCTTTCAGTTACGAATTTTGAAACTTTACGATCTTTTCTGTATCAGCCATAGTGTTTTTGAAAGGGAGTGATTATGAGCATGGTTGTCTTACAATTAGTTGCTGTTAAAGTATTTTTGGATGTACTATTATCGTGATAGATCGGTTTTGTTGTTGTTCTTATGGCCAGCATGGGTGCCGGGTGTTCTCAACTCCTGTCTGATATGCAGGCTTTCAAGGTGATTTTCTAGATGTCAATAAATCTCGGTGATGTGTAAATCTTTCATATATCTGTAACTAATAAGTTATGTATCTCCCTTAGGCCGCAAATCCCGACTGTACATTGGAAGATTTTGTGAGATGGCACTCTCCTCCAGATTGGACCGAAAATGATACTTCCCCCGGAGAGGGTGATTCTTCATCTTTACGGGGTCGATTGAGTACTCGGATGCAGAAAGAAGGTCCAACCTCTAGTCTCATTTTTTTCTCAATAGTAGTACAATTCATATCTTTTGTATTTATCGCTTATCGATCCTCACAACCATCGATGAAATTTTAGGTAATTTATGGAGAGAACTGTGGGAAACCGCCAAACCCGTGCCCGCTGTTAAACAAACACCTCTCTTTGATGAAGATTTAGCAGTGTAAGTTGAAATTATGCTGTCTTAAAAACACAGCCAATTCCGTGTTTGATCTCACTCATGGAGGATTTTCTTCGAATGTTCATCAAACTTTTAAAGGGAAGGGATCCTGAATTGTTTGGAAGACATACCAGCTGCCGAGCTTTTCGAGCAACTCTTTGTCTCCCTAGTAAGTCTTCCCGTCAAATCGCTTATGACCCTTACATATATATTCGATCTTTTTCGCTTCCGGTATGAATTCTAACTATTGAATGGTTGTGGGGTTTTCAGGTTGCCTCGGGATTTGCGATGTCAGAACCAAGACTAGCGAAAAACGATGATTTGTCGAAGATGTTCTACAAATGCAAGGATTATGTGGTCGTGACTTGTCAGGGACACAAATGGAGCGATAAACTCGACGATCTCTGCCAGGTACTCGATATTGCTCCATATAATCTTCCAGAATATTCTCCATAACGTTTTCGAACAGGAGTATACCGCATTTTCACATAGCGGATGAGCGAATTGAGCCGATTTCTTCGTTCTCTTAGGTCTACGAAACCGTGGAAACGATGTTACTACGGCCGGAAGAGTTTTTGAGAACGATGAAGCAAACGGAGGAATCTCCGACGGGCGAAACCAGACGCCGTTTCAGGCGGCTCGGATTTATATTTCGGGGTAAAGAGAGAGGCCAGAAGAAGCAACAACAAGGAGGAGGAGAAGAGCAGCAGAAAGGTTCAGAAGGAAACCCTAATCGCCAATCGTTCTCTAGTTTCTTCGACGGCAAGTCATCTTTGTTTTCCAAGAGACCTCCTAAACCGGAAAACGCAGACGGCACTGTCGCTTGATCTCTCTACCTTTTTTCCCTTTTTTTTTTATTTGGGAAGTGTATTTTGATTGGTTGGTAACTGTAAATTACCATTGAAATTTGTTCAGATAGAAATGAATAAAGATGCTTCAATATTTTATAGATTCTGTAAAGACTGTAACACGATACTAATTTAGTACAAATTTTAGAATACCGAATAAACCGTTTTCAGAACCGTGAAAATTTTGAAACGTCCACCCTAGTAAAAACGGTGGTTTTAGAGAAAGTGGTATAATGAACTTGTTCATACATATATGTTATATAGAGAGAGAGACACTCAAAACTATTTTCATATGGGAGTAATAATAATATACGTATCATTTTATATGAATATGCATAATTTTATTGGGGCATTTATCAATATTCTTTTGTAATTTTATAAAACTTCCCATTCTCCACTATATAGGTCCGCCCATATATATATATATATTTACAATAATGTTCAAAAGCTAATCGAAAACGGAAGGTGCTAGAATAGATTATAAAATTTTAAACTGTAAGTAATAACGATGAATAATGTGAATTATTTTATGTAGATATAACTAGAAATGATTATATCTAAGCAACACTATACGTGCCTCGAGATATCTCACGATTTTGTGTTGTTCGTGTGCGTTTGTGTTTATTTCTTTTTTTTTTCGAAGTTATTTTTTATCCGCGTTGAAGAAACTTTGCGCCGCCATATAGCCTCCTCCACGACAGCTTCGGTTTCTGCCAACGGACAGTTGCAGGGGTCGACAAAAGAAGGGGCTATGAACATGGGCCTGGCCCAATTAGCCCAATTTCAAATATATATATATATATATATATAAGTATATTTGAAATTAAATTAGCCGAATTCGAATCAAATATGAGAAAATAAGAAAACTAACAGTAAACATAACTAATAAGTGAAAACTAGGTGTCCAAATATCATTGAAGGTTATGACAAAACAACTTAACATGTCGCTATTATTGGGAGCACACACGCATAACCCTTCTCCAAAAGCATGGGATTCAACTATGGCACAAACAAACCTTGCACAACATAAGGTTTCATTTATTTTATTTTATAATCTTATAAATGAATTATAAGATAGTCTAGGGAAAAAAAAGGATTTTAATTTCATAATAAATAAATTAGCATTGGAAATGGATAAGGCGGGTGTGAGAGAATCTAGAAAACCCTACAACAAGAACAAGTGGAAGAAGCCATGAAAGAGAGAACAAGACTTCCACTTTCTAAAGGTCAACCCCTCAATTTGTTTTTATGATTTATGTGTTTTTTTTTTCTTAAGAGGATGCCAAGTTGATATTGAACCAATCGAATCGGATTGGCGCTTCACATTATGCACTCTTGACATCAACATAGAGTCATCATCAGCATCACCACCTCTCCTATATTAACAATTTATATAAAAAAAAATGGTATCTTTGAGCTTTTGTGGTGTTTTTCAACGGATGAGTACCTAAACAAAAAGGATGCAATATCTTCATATAATTTTGTTAGGAGTTGATTTATATATCTTTTGGTTATGTATTACGTGAAGGACCAAGAAAACGAAACCAATAGAACTATCTATTTCAAAATCTTACCATTAAAATGTTTTCGCGGAAATGTTCCCAACTATTCCTTTTCTAAAAAAAAATTATTATACAAATTTTTAGATTCATAAATCTAGCTTTTTATGTAGAAAATTGGCATTTTTAATAAGATTTTTAGTTTCATCCTATTTGTATTACATGTATATTCGTTTCCAATTCGATTAATTTGATTTTAAAAATATCACATCTAATCGAGTTTTCAATTAAATTAGATTTAGATGCAATTAGATTTTAACAGAAAGGATTTGGTACACTCAAATAAAAATATATGTAAAAGTGGCTATGAATTGTACACTAAATTACACATGTACTACCAGATGTTACCGTCGAATCCGATGTAAAATTCTACATACAAATTAAATAAAAATATTTTTAAAAAAAAAATACTAGAAACTCGAAATACATGACCTCTTGATTCAAATGTGAATGAATTTGGTCTAAGAAACACCGAACTTTGCTTGTGCCATGGAAAGTAAACGTTAAACCAACCCCAAAAAAAGGTCTTATGCGTTCACACTTACAAAAATTAAGACTAGGAATAATAATAATAAATAAATAAATAAATAAATAAATAAAAGAAAGAAAAGAGACTTAGTTGCTTCTTGACTTGTTCAAGTCTCCTTTTGCATAGTAGTTTATGCACTCAAACACCTACCACAAAACACACAATATACCCAACTGCCAATTTTGAAAGATCAACGACCATAGTTTTTTTTTAAACATAAAATTTATTGAATCTTTGATCCAACTACTTTCTAAATAAAGATTCGAAGGAGTTTTGCCCCATCGTTATCAATAATGTAATTTTAAATTTCCTCGTTTTTTTTTTCAATAGGTTTAGAAAGCTATGATATGATTAGTTTTTTTTAGATTCGAATATTGGAGAAAAACAATATTTTTTATTGTCTTTTACACAATTTATGTCGGATGATACAGAATTACATTCGACATTGTAACAGACAGATGGGATTACATCTCCTCCAATGGTGGAGTAGTAATAATTACTACTGCTGTCGCTGTCAGAGAAATGATCAGATGACATGCTGTCCTGATCTGAATTCCAGCTCTCGACACTTTCCGTTGCCTCCGATGGCGTTTCCTCGACTCCAATCTCATTTTCCTCGTCATTTCGTTTCTGGGTTGGTCCGATCTCGTTGTTTCTCAATTGAATCCAGTCGTCGGTATCCCAATCGGGCACGCCGGAAAACCCATCTCCGGCGAGTTTCTTGATCCGATCGGCGGGGGAATCTCGATAACTCGAAGGATCTGGAAAAGGGTCTTCGTGTTCTGTCTGAATCAAGAGACTTTTGGAGAGTTCGAATGAATCCCAGAAATATTGATCGAGCACAGTACTAGGAGAAGAAGAAGAAGTCGTCATCCTCGTGTTCAGACAAGTACGAGATTCGTCTTGTTCGTCGAGAAATGGGTGTTGCAGAAATTCATGAACTGCCCATCTCTCGCTCGCTTCTCGCCTCAGACAATTCCTCAGAAAGTCCTTAGCTTTCTCCGACAACCATCCCGGAATCTCCGGAGACTCGCCGGAGAATCCGATCTTGTACATTGCCGCAACGACGTCGTTTAGGCCGGGCCATGGGCTCGAACCAGTCGCCATCTCGATCACCGTACAACCCAATGCCCATACATCCGCTGCAAACCCCTGTTCCTCACCGCGAGCCACCTCCGGCGCCATGAACGCCGGTGTACCGGAAAATTCCGAAGTGACACCGCCGTTCTCCACAGTTTTGGCGCAACCCAGATCGGAAATCTTCGCCACGACGCCGTTTTCGCCGATCAAAACGTTCTGACTCTTCACGTCGCAGTGAACGATCCCTCGCGAGTGAAGATAGCTCAGACCCTTCAGAATCTGACGCGTGAATGATCTGATCTCCGGCTCCGGCAACTTCCCACCGCGTTTCTTGATCAGATCGTGAAGAGTTCCTCCGCCGACGTATTCCATAAGAATATTGTAGAGAAATATATTGTTCTCGCGCGTCGAAACAGAGCCTATGAACTTGACTACGTGAGGAGAGCTCAATTCGGACAAGAGAGATTGTTCTCTCTGTAAGATCGCCGAGGAAGAGAGCTCGACGGTTTTGACGGCGAAGATTCTACCGGAGCTCGCGACGGCGATAGAGACTGTGGCGGTGGAGCCGCGGCCGATGGTTGGGCCTCTCGTCCATTCCTCCATTGAAGCACCAGAAACTTGCGAATAAGAAATTGGAAAAAGAAACGAATAGCGGAGTCTTGTATTGTTTAAGTGAAGACTTGTCATGACCTAAGCTTTTATATATGTGTGTCTGTATACACACACATACACGCATATATAGATATATGTATATGTATATGTATATGTGTGTGTATGTGACCTTTGGAATGGGGTTTTGGTGTCCCAATTCAAAGTCTGAACTGAGACGACATTCTTTATTATTTCGTCTCTTTTCACCAATTATTAAGCACGAAAACTTTACCTTATCCTTCCCTTTTATTCAAATTAATATGATTTATCTCTAACACGACCGTTCAAGTTCGTATTCAAAATGCAAATCTCTCTCGCTCTCTCTATATATATACACATATAAGCATTTTTACCTACGTATCTCAGGACGATTTACATTTAAATATATATTCATATTACCCTGTGATATAAATGTTATTTCATTCATTTGGATTGAATGTCAAAGAATAATAATGCAACCCATTAATCACAAATTAATTAAAAAAAGGATAATCAAGGCGAAATTGATAGTTTAAGTTTATGTGGTCCATCACATTTTTAATCAATTCATCCACCAAATATTTTTGGATGGCTCGAAAGATTCTAATAAAAACCCTAAGATGTGTTATGAGTTTTTAAATTTGATTGGCATACAAAATAATTTTCTCGTTCCGAATAATTGTGATTTTATTTTACAAAAAAAAATAATAATTGTGATTTCCACTTTTTTTTAAAAAAAATTGTAAAAAAATTAGTGTTGTTTTGCGTGAAGCGAGCCACGTGGAGGGAGGAGAGAGGACGAGAACAGCTTTGACGGCGGATGCCAGGTTGGACGGCGCCGTTACTTGATCTGCCGACTTCCTATGTTTTCCGGTTGTAAAGAAGAAAAAAGGAACGGTAAAAATGCCACGTGGAAGAAGACATGTGCAAAATGCGAGGTTAGCGGGAAGATTAGCGTGGGATAATCCAACCATTAAAGGATTAAATTTTGAGGCTGTAATAAAGCCTTTTTCTCACATGCGTCTTTAATTGCAAATTTGCAAAACCCAAGCTGGACGTCTGAATACATTTTACAAAAACAAAAAAATAGTCGAGAAAAATAAATTAATCTCCGAGGAAGAAAGAAAAAAAATGATAAATAAACTAACTTATATAATAAATATTCCGATCTAACACATTTTGGGCTATTTTTTCTGGATAATTCGGCAGTTGAATATTTGGTTCAATTAAATTTCTTAAAGTATCAAAGAAACGGAAAAATTCATGTGAATGCCGTTCTCCAAATGAAAATTCGAATTTCGGTTGGTAGTGAGTTTTGTTTTTTTTCTTATCAATTGAACTATCCAATTTTAAAAGTCACTGTTCATGACAAATCTTAAATGTAAATACTGATAGACGAAATTTATATGAGCATGTTGATTAAAAGAATTGTACATTAGAATGCCATTATTTTCAGGGTATAGAGCGTGGTAACATGCCGTTTCAGTTATTGATTTTTGTTTTGAGCAAATGCATATTTTGGAGTTTTTTTTGTGCGGAAGAAAACGGGAGATGCTTTTGCGTAGAGAATAGAGAATAATAACAGAGCTGGATAATGGATTGGACTGTTTTGGTTAGGGATTGAATTAAATATATAGAGGGATACGATTTTAATAATCGTGTGTTGGCTGGACATGAACGCGGATTCATGCATGCATGCATGATAGTCACGATGGGTTAGAGAAGGGTGTGTTAGAGAAGTGCGAGTTACTCTCTCCGTTTCTCCGTTTCAAAATATTTATAGTTGTAGATTATTTTCCATATTTCAAAATATTTGTCATTTTACGTTTTCAAAACATTTTTTTACAATAGTTTCTAATTTTATCCCTATTAAATTTCACTAAACTATTAATGATAACATTGTTTTTATCATTAAATAAGGGTATATGTGATTTTTTTATTTTTAAAAAAAAATATGAAATAACCTAAAACAATAATTATTTTGAAACGGAAATAGTATTTTTTTTAACCAAATAAAGAAAATAAATAAAGCAGGAGAGTTTTGAGGTTTTTGTGTCATTGGGAAATGGAGGGGAGGATTTTACGCGTGATGGGAAGCAAATCACGCTGCGGGCCTTTTCTTTCCCTTGTTGCTGAATCCCCCCTCAAGGAGATTTTGTTTTTAATCTTTTCGATTGCTGAACCCACATTTTTTTAAATGTTGTGTTATAATTGAGATGGAAATGCATCACTATTAAGAATAATGAGCGTGTGTATATTCTAATCCCGTATGTATTTGATTGCCTAACCTTTATGGTATTAATATAAGATATTGCAAACAAAATTACAAAGATACATTAATCTTGAAAGCCAAACAGATTTGATTAACCAGCCGTTAAACGAATTTAAGATGTGCAATTGATTCTGAGCAGACATTCATCTACTCTTGTGAGACGACTAAGTAGTGATGGATGCTATATGTGATAAGATAAAAAAAGATTCAACCCAATTTGGATAGTTCAACCGGTGAAATGAGAGCGTAAAGCATTTATCCCGTCTCGAGTTCGAACTCTAAGTTGGGAATGAGACTTTCACATGGTTTTCTCTCGATCTTGAGATTAGTTTGGGTTAGGGCCTATGATACCCGATTAAAAAAAAAGATAAAAATGATTACAATTCCTGGATAATTTTAAAAAAAAGCCCAGCAGCTGCCATTGTAATCTTTTTTAAAAGATGGCAAGAAGCGTCCAAAGCAAGAGAAACCCCCCAACCTGAAATTCTTTAGAATCCCAACTGGCCAAAGAGAGAGAGAGAGAGGATGCAAGCTAAGCAAGCAATGGCCAATGAATGATACAAAACTTGGAAAGGGAAACAAAAGATAGGCTGAAAAGTGTGATATTCCTTCAAGGGTCGAGTTTTTGGGCCGGGAAGAAGAGGGGTATGTTTCAAGCAAACGCCGATCCAATCAAATCCCTCCATTCTTCTTCTTATTCTTCTTTCCTATGTTATAATTATAATAAAAATATTTTAAAATAAAATTAAAAGAAAGTAGTGGCTATACCTTACCTTACCATGGTAGCAACTCCTGCGTCACCAAAAGTGATTCACTTTCGGTTTTTCCTTCTCTTGTCTTCCGTTTATTCCATTCAATGGACCTTTCCTCCCCTTCCCTTGTGGCTGACTTTATGCTTTCCCTCACTCATCTTTGTCTATCTGAAACAAAATAGTTATCCAAACAAAAAACTCAATTGGGATATATTTCTGATAAAATTGGAATAACCCCACATACATATGGCTTCTCTTGCATGATTGGAAATGAACCATTTACGCAAAAGGAATTTACAATGTACCGGTCAACAACATCGCACGGGTTTTGGCTCTCATCTCCTTCCCACACTTGGTTTGTCTCATTTCGTCCTAAAGAAGGGTCCTCACCACTAGCTTTAGGGTCTGAAACTTAGATATGGTAACCCTTAGAATAACTAATGCACCTTCCAGACGTTTACATGGCCACATCAGTGCAAGTATCAAGTGAGTAGGGGCATAAAAACAAACTTGGCTCACGAGCCGACCCGCGAGAAAACCCATATTTTATCGATTTGGGCTTAAGAAATCTGAACCGGAAAAAAGCGCCCGGCGAGCCCACAAGCGGGCTCCCGAGTTAGGGCGATCTGAGCCAAACCATGATTTTTTTGGCTCGTAAAAAACGGGCCGCAGCCGATTTTGGGCTGGCTCAGACCGATCTGGGCCGAGCTGCTGACCCATTTTACATCCCTACAAGTGAGTAAAACTACCATTCTTCTACAAGGAATCAGATAATAGAACAGTAACTTACCAGGTTTAAAAGTAAAGTTTCAGGCACAGTGAGAGGCGGATGGAATCAAGATTCTGTATCAGCATTCTTCTGGTCATTGGACTCACTGGTACTTTCATATGTAAAGGGGACAGAATTGAAACCACCAGCATGTGCGTGTTCTGAAACATCATTCAAATCCGGGATACAAAAACGTAAATAATGAAATCAGTTTTCTGAATGTCATTCCAGAATCAGACAAACCCAGAACCAAAAAAAAAGGTTTAGGTTAGACGCAGTACAATAAAGATTAAAAAGAACTACAAAGCCTGTAGTGTACAACAGATAAACATCTTACTTGATTGTCTGAATGATGCAACTGGTACACAATAGATTATCCTGCAAACTTTGAAAGTAATGCAAAACGAAGAATGAAAAGAAAAAGGACACAGAAGCCGGACCAGAATGACGAGCTTAGGAGGATATAACAAAATGAACATTCCATAAACACAAGTTAATCCATTTCTGCCATAGTTTACTGAACTTCAGTTCTAGTGAAACAGGAGCTGCAGCACACGTTTTCAACCAGAAGTATCTAAACTAATTCCCAAAGCACAGAGATCATAAATGGCGACTGGCTACTATTCCATGGCATTTGCTCCTTCCAAAAATACTTGGATTGGATTTGGCCCTCAAGGACAAAGTTCCCTATTTATTGACCTAATCTTCTAGAATTTTCTCTATATCCTTGCCACAATTTCTATTCTTTCCTTTGATTAAAACCACCTGATAATAATCTTTCTTCACATTTCATCTCTCTTCTTTCTATATACTGCCCCCATTAAAATGATGAGGAATCCATGGAATAGCTATTGATTTCTGAAGACAATATCACTGAAGGAAATGTGGAATTCACTGATAGATTCATCCATCCTCCATTTAACTTTGCCACACGCGAAAATGTACCTACTCGAGACCAATGGTTACCGTATTTAAAAATAATCGGATTCGATATAAAATTATTCCAATCTCAACAAAGCAAATAAATAACCGATCAGAAATCATCATCTCTAGTATCGCTACGTCAAGCCTCTACATCACCACAAAGGTCCTACTGCTCACTTGCCTAATTTCGCTCTCGAGCTCCGGTTCCAGGTCAGGGTGATCGGAATTCGTGCGGGAGAGGTTGAGACACCCGCAGAGAAGAGGAGAGGAGGTGATGGACATCGTACCAGTCGATTAGGAGGTCGTTCCAATCAACGAGCGCCGCCGAAGAGTTGACAAACGCCGCCATGGAAAAGGAGAGCGAATTGGTCAACGACCTGCGTGTCCATCGGAGAACCTCAAAGCCAGTGGATTTTCCAAGCAGAAGGACCCTGCAAGAGATAGGGTTTGTCGATCCTAATTGGGAGTGCCGGAAAATTGATTGAAGGAGAAATATCAGCACGGCGGCGGAGAGAGCGGGAACTTGACAGTTGACACGACGAAAACAAGTGATATACGACGTCGTTTTATCCAGTCCATAATTTCACCGTTTGAGAGGGAAAACGTGTGTTGTTTTTCTGCAGAGAAAACGACTTGCATTTCTCCCGCCCTTAACCAAAGTAAAATAAGAGACGAAGATTGGGCCTTACTCGGGTTTACGAAGTATATCATACTAATTACATATTCTATAAAAATTAATTAAAGAGTATACGCGTGGCGTAATAGAATAAAGATTAGGGATACGACGTCGTATAGGTCAAATACAAGGGAGAATGGCGTTGACTTATATGACGTGAATTGTACAGTACAGTTAAAGCGTTGACCACTTCCCTCCCCATTTGGACTATCTTGAGCGATAAACAACAATCATTATTTTTTCTGAGTTTTGCACGTCCAACCAAATCGGTCAATATTAGATATATATAAGAATTTCTTATACTTTATCATAATATATATGATTATTTATTATAAATATACGAATCTCTAATATTTTAATTCTCAATAACCATACTCAATTGGATCAAAACCGGCCGGTACAGAAGACAATTTACATGATAATTTGGAATTGAAATTATCATACCGACTGCGGAAACGATGAGTGTGAATAAAATACTTTTGTTATATTTTGATACAACGAATGTAGTGTTATTGTGCATGCATGGATATAAGGGATTTACGAGTCTGTGACACAAACCCTAAGCATCTTTTTTAATATATTTTTTGTCAACGCCCTAAACTAATTAGATCAATATATATATATATATTCCCTCCTCTGCAAAAACCCCACTATTTTTCCCACATTTAACCCGTAACTTCTCAATTTATCAATCTCGTCCTCGCCTCCGCCGCCGAGCATCGCCCCGCACGCCGCCGAGCATGCATAAATCTCGCCCTCCATTTTCTCCGACGTCTTTCCGACTTCTTCCACGTGTCCCGATGACAGTACTTCCCTGTATTGCCCCTCGACCACCCCTTGTGACCCGATTGCCCGGCTCGCCTCGATCATGACCCGCAGGATCCGACCCGATTTCTCCGGATCTTGGTCACGTGTTTGGGCCAACATCTCCATCGCGAACGGAACCATACCGTCTCCGATCAAGAGCCGAATACTCGAATCGTACGGACCGTGGGCTGTTGGCTGGGACCCACCGAGCCCCAACAGCGGTTCGTGAGTACTGTACGGCACGGGGAACA